CGTAGGTGCCCTAAACGCCTCCATGTTCACATGGGCAAGACCCATGAGTCCCTAAAGCAGAAGACCTTAGCATATGTGCTGAGAACGGCGAGATCTCTGCGACGTGTCGGGTAGGGCTCAGGGGTTCATGGCTTAAGCGTTCAGGCCTTCCTGTTCAGCACCCCCTCACCGTCCTTAACCATCTACCGTAAACCCTAAACCTAAACCCTAAACCCTAAACCCTAGACCCTAGACCCTAGACCCGAAGCCCTAAACCCTCAACTAGGCTTTGAAGGCTTGCGGTGCTGCGGGGTTTAAGTCACGTTCCAAGTCGACCTTGAGCCTAAGCCCTGACCCGTAAATGGTTACACCTAAGAGCCCCTAATCCTAACCCCTAAAGCCTAAGCCCTGAACCCCACCCTACAAAAGCTTCGTAGGTACAGTAGACCTTACAAAAACCTCGTAGTTAGGGGTTTTTTTTCAGGCTAGTCGGTAGCCCTTATGGCAGCCTTGCTGTACGGTAGTGAGCACATAGGGCACCGTGTTACCTTCCTGGGTTGTCTTGCATCCATGGGGTTGGGGTGGGTTCGGGAGGTGTGGGTGGGCGGGGCATAGTGACGTCGGTTCTTTCCCAAAACACTCGTATGTGCAGCGTTGTTGCCAGTTTAGTTTACACAACATACTGCAGAAGGATGTTTGGTGCTGAGGCACTGTCACAAGCGCTCATGCCTGCGAGCATGCCCAAGCACTGCTGTTTGCAGCGCTTGGACACGTTTGCAACATGCTGCAGATGGATGCTTTACGTTTCTAGCATAAGACGCACCGTCACAAGCGCTGATGCCTTGGGCATCCTTGGGCGAGCATGCCCAAAACGCTGGTGTCTGCCCCATTTTTGTCTTCTTTGCACAACATCGGGCATGATAACGATATGGTGATGGCTATGATGATGAAGACGTGGCAATCAGCACAAACATGATAATGGCTGAGTGAAATCTCGTCCAACTTACGACAGTTTCCGGCAGACGCTACAACCGTGCTTTTTCTGGAAATCGTGCCCAAAACCGTGGTTTCCTGCACTAGAAAGCATACAAATAAAGTAGCACGGCACCCGCACGCTACGGCAAGGGTGCTACCTTCAGAAGGATGACTCAACTCAGGGACACGGATACTTATAGGACTAACAAATAATCATCATCCTCGTCGTCATCCTCAACCCTAAACCCTAAACCCTAAACCCTAAGCCCTAAACCCTAAACCCTAACCGTCCCCATCATCATCTGAATGGTGCAACCACGGAGCCTTTGAGAACCTGGCTTGTGTGATGCTGTCAGGCGAAGCGTTCTTCGAGCCGCCCTTGGTGCCGGCGGTGTCGCGAGCAACCTGCGCTTCCGGGCCTTAGGGTTTGGGGTTGCAGGGTTGGGGTTTAGGGTTTAGGGTTTAGGGTTTAGGGTTTAGGGTTTAGGGTTTAGGGTTTAGGGTTTAGGGTTTAGGGTTTTGGGTTGAGGATTTGGGATCGAGGGTTTGGATGGGTTTAGGGTTTAGCTGTTCTTAAGGGTGTTGGGGGTTCTCGACTTCAGGGGTTAGCAGCGTTTTTGGGACTAAGGTTTAGGCTCCAGCATCTACATTCCCAATCTTGGCAAAAAATCACCACCGCTTGCACGAGTAAAGATGCCTTCCTCACCGAAGTAACCCAAAGTGGAGCCTTCACCATGAACCCCAACCCTGACCCGGAATCCGACCACGGCAAGGCCCCAGAGAATCTCTCTGCCGTGGATTGTTCGAGGAGAAGGCGATTGCATGGAACTTGTTAGTTGAAGCTCAAGGTTAAGGGTTGAGGCTTTAGGGTTTAGGGTTTAGGGTTGAGGCTTTAGGGTTTAGGCTATGAAGAAGCCGATTGCAAATGCCCAACAGAGCACGTCGCACAAAAGGATCCTGCTGTGGGGAGCAATATGCTCGATGAAGAGGATGCTATGATATAGGGCCCTCCATAGTTACCCATACTATTTTGGTGGGTTCCGTATGTAATTATAATATATCATGCACCCCAAACGCCTATTCTAACTGTTTATTACTATTAAGGATTATGACATTCGTTCCTTCAGATTATTCCTTATGGTTCCTTATTATATCTATACTAGAAAGGGCCCTAGACCCTATTCTCATTATTAAGGCCCCTCCCTATTTTGGACTCAGGCAGCCCCGGGCCTGATAGCAGAGAAGTTTTAATAAGAGTTTGAAGTTTAGGGTTTAGGCACTTTCAGCATGCTGCCGGTATAGGAACCCAACACGTCCAAGAGCTTGGTATTTGCATAAAACAGCTAAGTAGCTTGAAGCTCGCATAGTTTCCGATGTACAGCTTACTAGACTGCTGGACCTAAACCCTAAACCCTAAAACCCTAAAGGGTACCCTGCACGGCTTAAGGTTTAGGGTTTCGGGTTTAGCGGCTTTGACCCATCCTTTGGGTAGCTAGACTCATTCTGGACTGCCATGACCTTACGAAGGGCCCAAAAGACCCAACAACAAAAAAAAAAACCAAGGAGCTTGCCATGCAGGCTGTCTGTAATCCCGCCGCACGGCCCTTCTCCAAAAGCCATGCTGATGGGCTTTTTCGCGCCTAGAACTTCGAAAAGGAACCTTCTTCTGGCACCACCGTTGGGGCCTTCTTCCCAGCGGGCCGAGTGGGTGGCGCCCGCGAGCGTGCTGCCGGCCGCTTCATGCTGCTGGACTTGAAACTTTGGTGCCTACAATGTTCAAAGCTTTGTCAACCGCATCTACTTGGGTATAATGTGATATCATTATGGATCACATTCAGTAGCATCTAATGAAACACTGTGCCTGCGCATGTAAATGAAATGGCCAGGAGCTGGTGTTTGTTACAAAGAGTTTCGGGCTGGTAGCCTGGAGATCTTCACCACTGGAGGCGATCGCTTGTGGATGGCTTCTTGAATCGGCAAGCTGCACACCGGCTTTCCCTAAACCCTAAACCCTAAACCCTAAGTAGAAGCTCCTGTGCCAGGCCTTCTTGACTTTTCAATGCTAGCACACCTGCCTTGTATGATAACGCGATGCTAAAGAACAGCACAATTGTGTGCCGGATTGAAATGCTCGTGACTACCTACCCTAAACCCTGAACCCCAAACCTTATACTATTTTGCCTTTGGGGTTTAGGGTTTAGGACTTTGCTTTGAAGTCGTTGAGTTGCTTGCTAGGGGTTTAGCTCTTTCGCTGTCAGGGATTAGGGTCTAGGGTGTACTGATCTCCTTTTATCCCTTCACCCTAATATTTAAAGGCCCCTGCAATAGATACTCGGAGAGTGTTTTTTATTCTTAGGGGGTAGTTTTATCTCGACTGCCACTTTTGAGGGGACGTGCTCTTGCTCCTGCTCTGGCTCTTGCTCCCGCGCTGGCTTTTGCTCCTGCTTCTGCTGCGTCTCTTGCCCCTGCTCCTGCTCTTGCTGTTGCTCCCGCTTTTGCTCCTGCTCTCGCTCTTGCTCCCGCTCTTGCTTTTGCTTTGCTCTTGCTGGTGCTCCTGCTGATGCTCCGGCTTTTGCTCTTGCTCCTGCTCTTGCTCTTGCTCTTACTGTGCTCTGAAGGGTATTTGGAGCCTCGAGACCCTCCCCCCTAGTTCAGAATAGGTGTTAAAGGGCAGGGATGATTTCGGCAGGATGGGGGCCAATGTGTTTTTATGATGAGGGGGGGTGTTTAATAAAAGGGGAAGCGCAACAAAATCCGGTCAAGAGACACCCTAAATTTCGGGGTCCATACTACAAACCTGCTGTTTGATACTATGCCATACAGCCCGAACCACCGAAGTACGAACTGCATCCGAACCCACTACGCCCTGCAGCCTCAGGTGATATTTCCCTGAGCGACCGTGGCTCATACCAGCTAAACATCCCTAAACCCTATATCCTAAACCCTCAACCCCAGAGCCTAAACCACCCAAAGGTGCGTAAACCCTAAAATCTCTAAGCCCCAAGCCCTAAGCCCCAACAGGTGTTCATTTTTGCTGCCTCTCCTGGCCAACCTCCTGGCTGCCTAGGACCTCCGGTCGGCTCCGGCGCGACCTTCATGGTGGCCCGCGCTGGCGATCTCCTCTGGGCAGCAGCCGTCCTGTGGCAGAAGGGGGATTTGAAATTCTACCTTCACCCCAAGTAACCGACCTTTTGCAGGCTTTGCAACTGGAAATCAGAATGAGAGGTCCTAAAAAGGCAGGTTTCTTAGGGTCCAGGTATAAGGTGTCAAGGAGGATAAGTGGTTTTCAGTTATAGAGTTGTGAATAGGCTTGAGGCTTGCGCATTGAGCTTTGAGTTTTAGGTTTCTACTTTAGTCTTGACGGCTTTCGGGTTTGGTGCTGCTTCCATTTGGGGCTTCATTCTTCTTGCGAGATTTCCACATCGTTGCTGAGCTCCCTAGACGTGAAAAGGGCAACCTTCGAATCATGGCAAAACCCAAAACGTTTGAAGGCTAGGGTGCACAAAACTTGGAACAAACCCGCAAACCCCTATTCACATGCCCAACCCTACACCCTAGACACCCTAAGCCTAGTCCCCTAATATCCTCCACGCCCTGAACTGCCAAAACCTTGCCCTTCAAAACCCTAAACCCTAAACCGTAAGCCCTAAACCCTAAGCCCTTCAAAGCGGGGATTATGCATCCTTGGGGCTTCTGGATACAGCGGTCCGGCGTCCGAAGACGGAAGGATCCTCCTACTTGAGAGCTCGGGGCCTTCATTCTGGTCCAATGCCTGAAACGCCCCAAAACTCAAGGGGGAACTGAAGCATGCTACTGAACCATAAGAAGCCCAAAAAACTTCAAAGTTTGGTGGTGCAAACCCAAGTTCCCAAACCCTAAACCCTAAACCCTAAACCCTAAACCCTAAACCCTAAACCCTGAACCCTAAACCCCAAACCCTAAAACCCTAAACCCCTGAACCCCTAAACCCCTCGCCGTACTCGAGCCTCGGGGTCTCCCCGTAGCTTTGCAAGCAGCAAGTCGAGCCGATAAAGCAGAGGTCGGCGTCACTTTGACTTCTTGTCCTCCATGATTGGGGTTTAGGGTTTAGGGTTTAGGGTTTAGGGTTTAGGGTTTAGGTTTGAGGGTTTAGGGTTGCTTGGCTTACTTCCCCAATAAGCCAGGGAAATAAAAGGTTAAACTTTCAGGTTACTACTAAGTTATAAGAACCCAAAAAGTCTAAAGGTTGGGTATTGGGGAACTAAGTGGGTTTAGAACTTAGGGTTTAAGGTTTAGGGCTTGGGGTTATAAAGTTTAGGGTTGAGGGCTTAGGATTTAGGCTTCCGTGTTTAGGGCTTAGGTCCGAAAATCCGGGGTCCCTTCTTGCCCTTTTTGGAGGGCGAGGAAGTCGTAGAAAAATCAGGATCCTACAGTTTAAAGACGGGGGGTCTCGGTACGGGGACCGTTGTATTTAAAACCTCCCGTTCCGGATGAACTGTTGAGTTCCGGGGCTTAGGGTTTGGGATTCAGAGTTTAGGGTTCTGGGTGTTTGGTTGAGGGTCAGCTTTGGGCGTTGGCCTTGCTGCAAAGGTACGCTTGTTGTGACTTCTCCTTGCCTGCCTCCCTACACAAACCCTAAACCTTATTCCTTGCTGTGGCATTGCGCAACTGCTAAGCCGCTAAGCACCGACCCAGGCTCCCCCACCTTCTTCGACTTCTTGTCCTTCTTCTTGGCCTTCTTGGCTTTCTTCTCCTTCTGCTTTCCTCAACACGGCCGATACCCGCGCTCTTCTCTCCCAGAACCAACGAAGCAGTGCAGCACTTGGAGCATCCCAGAAACCGACCCTGAATCCTACAGCCTCAACCCATGCTCCAATTGGAAGTGTAGTTTAACAGCCAAAGGGCCCAGGTAGAGACAGCCAGAATACAATCGTTCAAAACAGATACATAAAAACCCACGAAAGCCTACAAACGTCCTACCGAACCCCATAAAACCAAACACTACATAAAACTGCTTAAACTCTAAACCCTAAAACCCGAAANNNCCTAAACCCTAAACCCACCCTTTCTTTATTAAAAAAGCCCAGCGTCGCTTCTTCTTGGAGCTGCTGGAGCTCGAGGAGCCCGAGGAGTCGGAACTCTCCGAGCCCGAGCCTTGGGTTTAGGGTTTAGGG